TGTATATATATACATACATATATATACATTTAGTCATTTAGCAGACGCTTTTATCCAAAGCGACTTACAAATGAGGACAATGTAAGCAATCAAAATCAACAAAAGAGCAATGATATACAAGTGCTATAACAAGTCTATACAAAACATATAGATACACATACATACAGTGTATATATATATATATATATATATATATAATTTAGGTTAATGTCAATTTATAAATACATAAAAATATTAAATATAGATAAATATTAAATATAGAAATGTAAACTGAAGTACTGGCAGATCTTTTCTTCCATATTGTGATAAGTTTCGTATATCTAATAAGGTTAAGGTAGTCCATTTTAAAATCTTTCATCAAATTTATCCCGTTAATTCTTCCATTTTTACATATTGTGACATTGATAAGACATGCTGTTTCTGCGATGTATTAGAAGAAACACCTGTCAATGTATTCTTTAATTGTAAATAACGTAATGTGTTCTTTAATCACATTACTTAGACTTTTAAATCTTCACGAGTTTATTTAAAGATGTGACTAGATTTTGATTTGATGCTTTTCTTCTATGTGCATTTTGTTCCAACGTGTTTTCCTATCTAGTTCTTACAAATTTGAGATACGATTGTGATTTCCCTGTTCATTTATGTGATTCCATGTTCTGCAAATAAATAAATATTATAAAAATGTATATACAATATTTTTATTAAATATATTAAAATGTGTGCGGTCAGTTTTTTTTTTATTAAATGGATGAATCATTCAAATTACGATAGATAAAATGAATACAGAAAATATATGGGGTGAATTTAGTTTAATAGTTTAATCAAGTTCATGTTAAAAATGTATTAAAATATATATAAATATACAAATTAACATTTATTGCATTTATGCATTTAGCAGACGTTTCTAGCCAAGGCAGCTTACAGAGTTATAACATAAGATTAGCAGTTTTATTAACTAATGTTAATGTATAACGTTTTCAGAAAAAAAAATGTGGTTGAGCCCTAGATACTCACCCTAGATTTACCAGCAAATATATTATACCATAACCATTGTATGCATGCTTACCATTTTATGTAGAGTGTAAAATTCACTGTATCGTTTCTCAACAGTATGCTGTCTACCACACATGAGCACCTCGATCTTAAAAACCTGTGAGAAAAAATGCGTTTCCATTATTTCTCTAACATATAATGCAGTGAACTGGAATGACTCGAATGCATCACAATGAATAATTCACTTTAAATACAGACTATATCAGAACCTAGACATCATGCTGGGCAGCACAGGCGGGGCTGGAGCGTGACAATCCGGTTCAAACGCGCCCAACATGCTCTGAAATAGTCAGTTCACGCGGTTCTGGGACACAGCCAAAACGTCTACGCCTTAAAATCGACATTAATTGTTATTCACTGAGGTGAAGCGTAATGTTTGCTGCCGTACCTTTTAATGGCAGCGTGTTTACGCCCGCTGGCTCGATCTGAACACAGATATTTAACTCACCGTGTAGCCCTTCTCAGCGTTACTGCCCTCCGACCGAAACGACGGGATCGACACTTCTATAGGATGCATGATCCGGCCAGATATATCCGTTATTATGTGGCACGACAGGTCAAATAACTCTACGAGACTTCTGGTGGGTCCTTCACTGTGATTTTAATGGTTGTCAAGTTCACTGAGCGCCTGACATGAGAAGAATTGCAAATATTCCACGCGCTTCTTCTCCATCGCACGCAGGGGGTTCAGCGGTGAGTCTGCGGGTGCAATGCTGCCACCTGTCGTTCTGGCCGGGAAATACATCAGCAGCCCGGCGCCACAGAACATTAACGTTTGGCTAGTTTTCTTCAAAATCTAATGTAGACATTGATGTTACTATGTGTGATATATTTAGTTATTTTTCACATTGTAAACATAACATAGAATATATAGGAAATGTATTTATTTTATTGGGAAAATATTATATTCATAAATGTAAATTTTCTTCAACATCTCCAAAATTACATCATTTTCTTTGTGACTTTAACTACTTAATTATAACACTAAAAAATATTACTACCAAAAAAAGTGTCAAATTTGTGAAATTGTATAATGATCTGCTGAATGGTACATCATTTTGATTTACTACCTCTGTATTTTTTGTTTTATCTATGTATTCTTATTTATTTTCTTCTTCTTCGTTGTCTTCCTATATAATTTCTGTATTCGTAATGTCATCCAATGTTACATTAATTTTTGAAGTTAAGTGTTTATACTTGCAATAAAAAAATAAATAAAAAAACATTTGGGTAGTTGACAAATATGCCGTAAAAATGCTTTATGCATATATTTATGTAGTGTGAACTCTGGTGTTTGAGAAAATATAAGGGGTCACTAACTTTTTACATTTTTACTGAACTACCATAAATGTGTGTCCTATGGTGTGACATAGAAAAATGAAGAAAAACTCTTAATAATATACAAATAACACGAGAGATTTATCTTTATTGTTAGACACTTATTTTCATATATTGTTATTTATTTAAATTATGAATAGTTAAGTGTTTATACTTGCAATAAAAAAATAAATAAAAAAACATTTGGGTAGTTGACAAATATGCCGTAAAAATGCTTTATGCATATATTTATGTAGTGTGAACTCTGGTGTTTGAGAAAATATAAGGGGTCACTAACTTTTTACATTTTTACTGAACTACCATAAATGTGTGTCCTATGGTGTGACATAGAAAAATGAAGAAAAACTCTTAATAATATACAAATAACACGAGAGATTTATCTTTATTGTTAGACACTTATTTTCATATATTGTTATTTATTTAATATGAAATTATGAATAACATTATTTTCCCCCATGACCTTTTTCAAGAAGAACTTTGACAATGAGACAAACTTTGCTGTCATCCGTTCAAAATTGCAGAAGATTATGCCATTTTAAGATGAGAGTTGATTTTATCTCCCTACTGCAATACTCAACTGTTCTTTAAGATATTTGGAGATTTTAAAAAACAGATCTGCGGTTCTTTTATGTGTGTCATATCATAGGACTTTACGTCACACTAAAGGACAGAAATTGTAGTTAACTGCTTTAAAGAGAAAGTGAAATGCATTACATTAAAGTCTTTTTGTTTAACTTTGAATATGTCAAAGAAGAAAGAAAGTATAATTTTGATACAAACAATCAAATGACAAAAAAAAGTCATTAACAGAATTCAGTCACTTAGTCGATCAGTATGTTACTGAAACTCTTCTAGAGCCAGCGTTCATTTTCTCTCTATACTTCCATGTCCTCTCTCTCACTCATTTCTCTCCCTCAATTCTTTCTGTCTCAAAAACAAAGTATCAAATTTATACTTATTTTTATGTCACTTTATAACAGTACAAGTGTTTCGCAAAAACATCAGAAAATATTTTAATGTAATTATTGCATTTAAGTTTTTAATTCAAATATATAATTTAGGGGTGTCGCACCAAAGGACAACAAAACGTAACTTTTATAGTGATTCCAAAAAAGTTCAATATTTGAACAATTCTGAGACAAAAACGTATTATGTGTACACGTCAAGAGCTTCAGTAACATGGCCTAGAATGGGGTCCTTCAACTAATTAAAGACTGCCATTTACTGAAATAGACACTTCTATGCCTTTCTTTTTAATTTAAAATAGTTGTAATTTATTGAATCATGCTTGAGACAGTCACACCATAGGACAATTTTGAGATTTGTAGATGAGTTTGTTTCTTCATCAGAACAGATTTGGAGAAATTTTGAATTTCATCACTTGCTGACCGATGGATCCTCTGCAGTGAATGGGTGCCGTCAGAATGAGAGTCCAAACAGCTGATAAATACATCACAATAATCCACAAGTAATCCACACCACTCCAGTCCATCAGTTAAAATTTTGTTCAACGAAAAGCTGTGTGTTTGAAGGAAACAAATCCATCATTAAAAAGTTTTTAACTTCAAGCCGTTGCTTCCAGCTAAAAATATGAGTGCTAGTAAAACTGCAGAGTATCCATTGATGAGCAAGTGATGCAATGATACATTTTTCCAAATCAGTTTCCATGAAGAAACAAACTCATATAGGAGGTTATGAGGGCGAGTACATTTTCAGCAAATTTTCATTACTGTATGAACTATTCTTTTAAATGAGTGAAGACAGCTGCTGTTAGAGCTATGCAATAAATAATCAACATTATTATAGTTAAAGGGATAGTTCACCCAAAAATGAAAATTCTGTCATCATTTACTCGCCCTCATGTCATTCCAAACCTGTATGAGTTGCTTTCTTATGTTGAACACAAAAGAAGATATTTTGAAGATTGCTGGTAATCAAAGAGTTGGTGGTTGCCATTGACTTCCATAGTAGGAAAAAAAATACTATGGAAGTCAATGGCAACCACCAACTGTTTGATTACCAGCAATCTCAAAAAAAAAAACAGCACATATAATATTTATTTTGAGCAAACACCATTTTCTGAAAGTCATTTAATGAGGCTGAGTGTGAAGTTATTTATTCAAGTAATTTTCATTTCACACATAAAAGGTGTTGCACTAATATGAGCATCTGTATATAAATATCTACTTAGAATACACAACTAAAGCATCACTAGCACACTAAAGCATGTTTAAGGTAAAAACCCCAGTGTGGATCAATATCTGAAGGTTTAATGTTTATCATTTATCAGTCTGAGAGAATGATGCTGAATGATTTGGGGAATGTGTGGTATCTCTGCAAACTGTTTCATCCAAATTTCTATAGGAATCCAGCACAATATGACCCTGGACTCTTTCTTTTTCTTTTTTCATTTTTGCTTAGTAATTTCATAGCAAAAAAAAAAGAATAATGCAATTCACTGTAAAACTGGATTTATGCCTCAGGTTTTTATATTCTGTGGCATAGTCAGCACTAAAATGCCCTGCTGATTATTGGCTCTCACAAACAGGAAAGTGGCCCATGATCGGCGTCCATTCATCTGTTCACTTTGTTGCAGCTTTTTTTTAATCATCAAAAACTTCATTTCTGATTATCTTTCCCTATTCCTTAGGATCCTTTAGTAGATTCTTAATACCTGAAATAAACATAGCATATTAATGTCTTTGGTTTAACTAGTCAAACGAAATATAGTATACAATATAAAATAAATGAAGTATACTCACTGTGAAATATGACATCCTGAAACATAAACATAGTTTCCGGTGTAACGTACATCGCAGCGCACATTATTGTTACTGTAGTCCGACTCTGGCACCTGGTAACTGGGATTTATACTAACCTAAACCAGAAAAAGAAAAACAGGCTGGAAGTCAGGAACATGATATTGGATATTTCTTGAATGCAATAACTCTTGATTAAGGCCAAAAACCTTGAGGATGTAGTTTCCAGGTTTCACATCAGTAATATCTATCCACTGGCAGTCGATGTCGGCATTGTAAGTGTCGTAACACCCTGGACTCAGGCCCTGGAAATACAACAACAGTTTACTTTCAGCGCATGCACATGTAAAATGGTTACAGTACCTTGAAGTACAATGTAAACCAAGGTATATACAGCATCAAGGTATTTTTCAAAGTACCATGGTATTAACATATTATACAATCATGGTACTGCCATGGTAAGTATAGGGTTAACATGTTTCATTAAGGTTAATTATTTTTTGCAATATCTGTGATTCATAATATTGACAGTCGATTGCTTATAACAGATACATTGGCTGTGTCCTAAAACCTAGTGAGCTGCATACATAGGCAATATAGAATCCTGGCCAGGACCCGTCCTGGGAAAATGGCACGTATGGTCACCCTAATTTGAGTAGTGTTGTTAGCTTAGCAACATGTTAACTTCAAAATCTTTACAAAATCAAAAGACTGTGATGAGTCTTTAGTGAGTTATTCATGAGAAGCGCTATTGTTATAATGTACAAAGTTACAAATGCATCACATGAGGCTTCATTTAAATTATAGTTTAATGTATTTCTTATGTTTACTGTAGTATGTCTATATAGTAGCTAAGCAAAATGCTAACCTTAAAGACTTTTGAAATCCATTGTGAATTGAGCCTTCTGTGTGTTTTTCATAAAAAGCTAATTTTTTAATAATGTACAGAGTTCCAAATTAGTCACATATGAGGCTTAATTTCAGTTATGTAAATGAATGTATTTCTTATGTGAAGTATTGTTGTTAGCTTAGCAACACGCTAACCTCAAAGTCTTTAGAAATCAATGGTGAATTGTGTCTTCTGTGTGTTTTTCATGAGAAGCACTATTTTTATAACATACAATGTTCCAAACCAGTCACATGTTTCCTATCAGTTATGTAGTTTTGGAGTCAGAAATATATACATAAATAATCAATGAGAGTGACCTGAGTGTGGGAGGTGCAGGCGTATCGTCGGTAGTAGCCGTAGTCACAGGACGTGTCTTCCAGACAGAAACTGGCCTTGTGTCCCTCTGCTACTCTTCGCTGAGAACTGGCTTCCAGTAGGTCATAATGACTGAACTCGTCCATGCTGTGGTAGTGCCTAGAAACAGCAAAGTAAATCAGATTGTCATCATGCATCACTTTCAACTGGTGCTTTTCAAATTTTGCCTGCCTCTGGGAATCTCATTGCTAGCTGGGTTAGTTCATAGGATTTAGAATGCCTGCCATTCATTTTCAACGCTTTAATCCAATTAATGAATTTCCTAAACACTGGGACATATATCAGATCTTCAGGAAGAAAAGAATGTCGTGCAGAGCCTTTCCAAAAGAACTCCATGGCCAATGTGTGAGCTGGAATTTACACCACGCAAACCTCTGCTTATTTCACCTCAAGTAGTCTCAATGGTGCCAGTGAAATTGTGAAAGAGACAGTTCAACCAAAAATTTCAATTATCTCGTAATTTACTTCACTTTTTCATGTTCTAACCACAAAAGGAGACCATTTTAAGACCGTTTTTCATGCATTTTTTCCCCAATTACAATGAATGGGGAATTTCGAGCTTCAAAATGTAGCAAAAACCACCATAAAAGCATCATAAAAGTATTTTTATATGATTTGTGTGCTATATTTCAAATCTTCTGAAGCCAGACAATAGCTTTGTATAAGAAACGGACTGAAATTTCATCTTCTCCTCCTAGTAAGCTTTTAATTTGAGAATCACCGTTACTGGAGTTATTGAGTTGAACCAGATCAGTCTGACTTGTGAAGAAATAATTCATATTTGTAAATAAACCTGTGAACTGGATTATTCAGACCATTTTTGAGAACTGAATCAACGATTCATTGAATTATCAAGATCCAACTCAAAAGAACAATTCATTTACAAATTCGACATTGCTACACTAGAAATATTGCACACAATTCATGCTGACTACTTTTATGAAGTTTTGCATTTTTGAAGCTTAAACGTATATAGTCTCTATTCATTGCAATTATATGGGAAAAGGCGACCAGTACATTCTTTAAAATTTATCCTTTTATGTTCTACAGAATATACAAAGTCATTTATGTTTGGAATGAGTAAATGACACGTAAAAGTAATTTCTGGGTGAAATATTCCTTAAAACCAAGTGGAAAAACTGTAAAAATCCCAAAATCACTTCATATTATCTTATTGGACGGTTCAGTAGCCCCAGCTTAAAAAAATTGTGCAGTATAAAAAATAAATAACAAACAGAAGACGTTCATATTATGGCACATCAAATAAATGCATGTCAGCACACAGACCTTACGCCTCATTTATGCATAAGACCTAAAGTCATTGTATACACTGGAGCTTGTCCAAATGTAAGCCGTAGTTGATGGTGAGGCACGGCTTTACTTCAGGACAAAACTATGCAGTGAGCCATTACGGAGTCAACTGAAATATAAGCAGCAATAGTGGGCCTCTGCAAAGTGTTTTCATTTAGACAAGAACACAGACCCTTTTCCTTGTAAAAAACAGCACCACCAGCACTAGATTCAGTCCGATACAACGCTCAAACCATGATAAAGCTTCACAATCTTGCTGTTTTTTGCCTAAGGAATTCAGTTCATTGCATCATATCTGCTCCCTTTAGGGTTCTTAATAGTGGTCTGTGATGCATTACTAAACATGCAGCATCAGAAAACGATGCAAATGCCTGGACCTGTTAGATTCAGACTTACTGATGGCAGCTGTGCCATTCCCAGCTGTAGCGCGGCCTGCTGGGAAGAAAGTCGGCGGTACCTTGGTTCTTGACTCGCTGCGGGAACCTCAGCAACATGCGCGTGTCGTAGTCTCTCACGCTGGATCTGTATGCAGTGCTGCTCAACAAAAACAGCCCAATGGTTACAAAATATCAGACATTCCTTGAGTTTCTCATATTGTCCTAACAGCTTTCAGAATGTGTCTCTTGGCCCCGTGGCCACATTTCAAGCGCACATGGAACAACTACAGATGCACGTTTCCAAAGAAACTGGACTGGACTATTCTTGTGTGCCCCAGTAATGTGTTTCACAGTCATGCATGTGATTAATCTTTCCATGTAAACAGCTTTATGTGAAATCTGTTTGTAGAGTTTCTCACTTCCCATCATGGCAGGACTTTTCGTTTAATTCTTTCCACTCTCACAGGGCTGGTTTGAGTTATAGGATGTTCCTACCACATGGGATTTAAATAGAATGGGATACACTTGGAGGAATGTGAGAGTGCTAACTCTCCTTCTCTGGTTGCAACACTGCACCAAAAATCTTGATTACGTTCTTCTGTTTTATATCAACAATAATACCTCGCCAAGCAGTTTTCCTCAGCGGCGCATCTGAGATTGTACATTGGAACGCTCTGCACATAGGCGGACGCTTGGATGTAGTATGGGTCTCCAACAAGATCAGGCAAACCTATGAAACACTGAAGTGTTTTATTAAAAAAATACAAGAAAATGCACAGAATTAAAATTAAAATACAAGTTATTTAAAACAGCCTAAACTAGCCTGACCACCTGCCAAGTGACAAAAACCCTTCGAAAAACCATTAGACCACCCTGAGCAGCAAACTACCTTAGTCGTTTTTTTTTCCTGCAAGGATGCCATTATTGTAAACTAACGGTTTCAGTTAAATTAAACACATGTAATTATGCAATTAAAATACAAGAGGAGGATCCGATGGCGTCTTGCTCTTTTTTTTTTACAGTTTAACCAATACATAGTGGATAGATTATGCATTTTGCGAGTGGATGTGACGCAAATCATTTTAACCCATAGTAATTATGCAACGTAATTATCAAAGATGTAATTAATAGTCATTTCTATTCATTTACTTGGCAAGTTGCCAAATCCACAAAAAAAAAAAAAAATAATAATATATATATATATATATATATAATAATGTTTTTATTATCGGTCTAAAAGAAGACCGAAATATGCAAAGAATTTGTAAAAATAATAATAACCTAAAACTGCTATCATCGTGACCGACTTTACATCAGTGCAAAAATATTTGTTGACATTTTCCTCAGTAATGCATTCCCATACACATAAAATTAATATTAAAGAAAAATATATTCGATATAATAAAAAGGAAACATCTAGTTTAAAATACACGTGCCATGTTTTTTTTATTTTTTAAAGTTTTTACCATTTTCTAAAAAAAATAATAATTATTATTATATATATATATACATGTAACGTTTGAATAAGCATGATGCACACAGATAGACTTGATTCGGTCCTTACCATACTGGGAGTATCTTGTGCCATATCCCGGGCGCGCTGCAGGACGGGGTCTCTCGTACGCATCATACTCGTTATAAAACGGGTTGTCCGGGTCATTAGACTTGTATGGGTTGTAAGGATCATCTCCAACCATCATTTCATCATCCAGCGCGGGTCTGTCGGTGCCGTTGACTGATGTTTGCAGCTGCTCCGTCTGATTCCTGCGCCCGCGTGATCCTCTGGCTCGCGCTCCATCTCCACCTGATGACCAGCGCAAGGCACCACCGCGCGCACCGATACCTGACTGCAAGCGCGCGGACTTGCGGCTCTGGGAGGGTCGCAGTGAAGCAGCAGCAGCTGAGCCGTCGGTTCTCGTGGCCGCATCATCGTTGCGGACGATGGCTATCGGCCTGGCTTGCGTCTGCTCTTTGTTTGCGTCTCGTTTTAACGGTGGCTGATATTCCGAGCCTTGACTTAATATACTAAAGAGTTTGCCGTTGTGCTGCCATTGTAAGGTTTGTCTGAGAGCTGCCGCTCCACTGTTGCCCTGACGCTGAGAAAGACCAGTTCGTACAATGCAACTTAATAAACACACATGCGCAAATGCGTAAATTAAGGTGTCAGTTAAACTCCTACTCATTTTTTATGTTAAATGGACTTCTCCAGTTCTTCTGCTTGCCGAAGTTCCAGTAACTGAATTGGGGGGGGAAATGGGCTAAGTTGTGCTCTTTCATAAAGCTTGTTCGAAAATAATAAATTAAGTTAAATCAAGTGAGACTTACATAACTGAAAGGTGAGATCTCAGCGCGACCTCCTATTGCTCTGCACTTGGACTAACTGATGCGTTGTAAGGTTTGTCTGAGAGCTGCCGCTCCACTGTTGCCCTGACGCTGAGAAAGACCAGTTCGTACAATGCAACTTAATAAACACACATGCGCAAATGCGTAAATTAAGGTGTCAGTTAAACTCCTACTCATTTTTTATGTTAAATGGACTTCTCCAGTTCTTCTGCTTGCCGAAGTTCCAGTAACTGAATTGGGGGGGAAATGGGCTAAGTTGTGCTCTTTCATAAAGCTTGTTCGAAAATAATAAATTAAGTTAAATCAAGTGAGACTTACATAACTGAAAGGTGAGATCTCAGCGCGACCTCCTATTGCTCTGCACTTGGACTAACTGATGCTCAAGTGCAAGAGGGAGGAGGAGCTGATTTTTTAAAAGTTTCTTGTTATACAAGCTCCGGTAACGGAAAAGCCCCGTTCTTATGAAACTGTAAAACGTGAGATTGAACATGTTCAAAAGAAGACCGAAATATGCAAAGAATTTGTAAAAAAAAAAAAATAAATTAAAAAAAAAAGAAGAAGAAGAAGAATAACCTAAAACTGCTGTCAATCGTGACAGACTTTACATCAGTGCAAAAATATTTGTTGACATTTTCCTCAGTAATGCATTCCTATACACATAAAATTAATATTGAAGAAAAATATATTCGATATAATAAAAAGGAAACATCTAGTTAAAAAAAACAACGTTTTACCATTTTCTAAAAAAATCAATAAAAAAAATCAAGTGTAACCATCAAATAAAACGGATTTATTGCTGCTTGAATGCATGTGTACATAGGCCTATCTTAATAATTATTTTTCAACATATTTTAAATAAATAAAAAGAAACCAAACTGACAGTTTGTTACTTTTTTTACTTTTCAAAAAATAACTTTGTTATTTTTTTTCGTATACATTTTCTTTTTATAATACAAAATATTTTTTTTATAATTTTATAAACAGATACAGTAGCCTATAAAAAAGTTTTACATCATTACATTTTCTTCAAAACATTATTAACAAAAGATAGAAGAAGTGGGTTTTGGGTCAGCATTTCTCATTTCTTTTCTGTTGTGCTGTGACGAATCTGACTTTTAGATGAACCTTTAAGAGCCAAAAAATAAATAAAAACACCTCTTGGCAAAATGTCTCCATATCAATATTCTAGAGAGAGGCCTGCAAAGTAAGCAAAACAGATTTACACTACATTGTCTGTTCAGGAAGTTGATGCTCATAAAACGAGATCCTTTTTTATTTTCCTCCTATAACTTTCACTATTTTCCTCCTATAACTTTCACTAAATCCTTTATTACTTTCTAGCCCTTTTTTGAAAGCAAAGTCATGTGTGGGGCCTTCACGAGGTGCTACATTAAACATCACATGTGCTGACTTTCAATAGGAGCTTTTGCTGGAAACTGTTCTACGTTCGTCACATGATGCACTGTTTATAACATTCAATCATAAACTTACCTGGGCCACCCAGACCTTAACGTAGATCCCTCCTTCCTCTTTCCCTTAACTGTTACGTACTCTAATCTGACCCAACTGCCTTTTTATACTTTCCCATGAGCAATGCATCCTATGGCTTGCAAAGGAAGCATAATTGCTAGTTAGAAAAACTTAATCAATGGTCTCCAAATTCTGTGTCTAGCCTCTTAAAGCACTCATGCCCAGTGACAAACCGCAAGGACCAACAATGCACAACTAGAAATAGAGGTTTCCAAAGTCTTTTTTCCTCTCTTTTCAACAGAAAATATCCTTTAAATGTAAGGCTTCACTGAACGTGTGCCATAAATTACATAGATGATATTTCATTGTGGCATTCACTCTGAACCCATAGACTATATATTATCTTAGTCAATGCAAAAAGAATCTCTTTTAGATGAGCTATTCCATATTCATCATCCACGAGTGCAATGAACTTCCATCATGCAAACTCTTTTAGGGACACTAGAGGGCTCATTTTAACTTAACAAGGTATCACCAATGTATCCTCTGCAGTGAATGGGTGCCGTCAGAATGAGAGTCCAAACAGCTGATAAAAACATCACAATAATAAACAAGTAATGTGAGTAATCCACAAGATGCATGTTTGTAATGAACAAATCCATCATTAAGACATTGTTAACTTCAAACCATTGCTTCCTGCTAAATTATGAGTCCTTATCCATAATACTGCTTCCTCCAGAGAAAAAAAACTGTCTAGTCTAAATCAGGAGAGAAAGATGCACAGTCCAAACAGTTCTAAACAAATGTTGGTGGATTTTGATGGGAAAGTACAACAGGGGATGAACTTCTTTACTGGAGGAAGCGTTGTTATGGATTATGGACTTGTTTTGGACGGCAGTGATGGTTTAAAGTAAAAAAAAAAATCATATTAATGATGGATTAATTTTGTTTCTTATAAACATGCATCTTTTCACTTCACAAGACGTTAATTAATGGACAGGAGTGGTGTGGATTATTGTGATGTTTTTGTCAGCTGTTTGTACTTTTTATCAGCTGTCGACATTCTGACGGCACCCATTCACTGCAGAGGATCTTCAAATCTGTTCTGATGAAAAAGCAAACTCATCTGAGGGTGGGTAAATTGTCAACAAATTTTCGTTTTTGGGTGAACTATTCCTTTAAGAAATAAAGTACAACACGCTTTTATTGCTTTTATAAAATAATTACCATCTAAAAATAAATAATAAAAATATTTTTAAAACGTTAAAATGTTTATTTAATTCAAAAATGTATTAATAATATTAATTAAAAATATATAGTTATATTTTATTTTGAGCAAACTGATTTTAGCTATAAAATGTAGTGTCTGACATTCAAACTAAACTGCGCAGTTATATACGGAAGTGAACAGGTGATTCATGTCACAGCTGGAATGCTGCATCGACCAATCAGCATCCAGGAAACTGTCTTCAGCATGTTATGTGTAAAACCATGCCATGTTCTCCAGTTGTGTCATGATAAATCAGTGAAGTGTTAAGAACTGTATCAGTTAAACGTTGGATTTATTGTAATGATCCTGAGAAAATATGTGACACCCACACAGACTTTAGACTCAAAATGGGCCTTTACGAACATTACATGACCTCCCTGAACCATCTACAGTAATGCTGAAACGTGCCAGTGGGGCTAATTTTGCACAAAAATGGACGTCTGCCAAACCTCCTTGGAGGTATGTGAGTTTCAGATGAACTTTTTTAACAATGTGAAAACGTTGCAGCTGGCTCAAGAGTAGAAGCCTAGGCTATGAAAAGAATAAAATGAAATACATTGCAACAACACTTTGAAATGGCAAAGCATTATAAAATAAAACCGTAAATGCCTATCCTCCTCCACGATCTGCTGGCGCATTCAAAGAGCTAAATAAAAGTGTTTTTCTTCACAAGGACTCAGATGGGGTATTTAGAGAATGAAGAGCAGGCTCCGAATATCTGCTCATATTCCAAAGGCCAGGTTCAAACGTTTTAATAAAGTTTGCATTCCATTGTAGCTGTCTGACATGCCAATTGCAGTCGGTCTGTGTGGAAGAAAAATAGAAAACACTTTGTGCTCGTCGTCTGAGAGCCACATGAACAGAACCAGCTGTACTGGGTCACTGTTGTTTTTCGTACATCACCCGGTACGTTCAGCACCCGGGCTTCCCTCTTCTCTGGCAGCGGTCGATCCTGCATTCCTCAGACTGTAGAACCACATATGAAAGTAATTAACCTAGTTCCTCTGTCCACGTTGCTTGCTTTCTCTTCAGTTGATAGGTAAGTAAAAGTCGTCTGCTGAAAACACAGACGGCCTAAAAGTGGTAGTCAAAAGGAAATGAGGCAAAGCTGCGATGAATAATCAGTTAGGCACAGAATTGGAAGGCGTCGGTGCGGTAAGTTTCGCAGACAAAAACTTCTTTCACCACAAATAACCTTTTGTGAAACAGAAAGGTTCTTCAGATGTTGAAGGTTCTTTATGGAACCATTTGGACAAAAAGGTTCTTCTATGGCATCGTGAAGCCCCTTTATTTTGTAGGGTGTTATCACGACATGTCAAGAGTGTAGGGTGTTATCACGACATGTCATCAATCCGGAAGTCAGCCATATTGGTGGCACTGAACATAAACAATGCCACTGAACCAAACGGAACTCGTGTATGGGCTTGGCAAAAAAAATTAAGTAGTTCACTATAGCTGCGTTTCCATTACATATTTGTGCAAAAATTGTGTGATGTTTTATAAATATCGATAAAAAACGATTGGGAAATGACGGCGTTTCCATGAACCGATGTTATGCGACTAAAACGTAATTTTTGCCTCTCACGATAAGTCATGGTGATGGATGTTGGTAGGCTTACTATATCGCAACCATCACACTAGCCATTATTTTTAATCGAAGGAGACGTTGATGTGTATCTTTAGCGAAGCAGCGTGGAGAGCCACTTTTGGGATGCTTCTGAAACGTACCACGGCCCAGCAGCTACAAACACAAGCATTGACTAAAGTGGACGCAATCAGCTCCAGTGGCCGTGTTGGAGCTGTAATGCTCCGCAGACGTGTGCGGTGTAAATAAGGAGTTATCCAAGAATTAATGGCAAGGAAGCCCCTTATACTTGAAAGCAGCCACGTATGAGGTGTTTATTGGAGGTTATAGTATATTAAAGAATGATCATGTGACTTTTACGTATGCCAGGTGACCTGTAAATGCAACAAAACTTTTTCCATTGCAGTTTTGCAAAATATTCCTTTTTTTCGAATTGCCTGAAAAACCACCTTTTTTCGATATATGGGAGTTTTTGCAAAATTAAGTGTTTCCATTGGACATATTTTCATTTTGCAATTTCAATTTGCGCAGCTTATGTCGGGATAAGAAACAGAAGGAAGAATTGTCAGGTCATCAGACCACGACAAAGGAGCCAGCTCATACGGATCTTTACCACCTATTAACTTTAGTTTGCCACATTATTGTGCCTGTTCCTGCTTACTAAGTCCCTCTCTATATGATTTAGCAGCTTCCACACGTTTTTTCTGTGGTTTA